ACGCACCACCATGCCCAGCTAATTTTTTGTAGTTTTAGTAGAGACGGGGTTTCACCATGTTGACCAGGATGGTCTCGATCTCTTGACCTCGTGATCCACCCGCCTCAGCCTCCCACAGTGCTGGGATTACAGGCTTGAGCCACCGCGCCCGGCCTAAAAAATTTTTTAAGATAGGCTCTTGCTCTGTCACCTAGGCTGGAGTGCAGTGGCACGATCTCGACTCACGGCAACCTCTGCCTTCCAGATTCAAGTAACTCTCCTGTCTTAGCCTCCCGAGTAGCTGGGATTACAAGTGTGCACCACCACGTCCAGCTAAATTTTGTATTTTAGTAGAGACAGGGTTTTACGATGTTGGCCAGGCTGGTCTTGAACTCCTGACCTCAAGTGATCTGGCCACCTCAGCCTCCCAAAGTACTGGGATTACAGACGTGATCCACTGTACCCAGCCTGTGAGACTTGATTCTCCACAATTTCATAAGATAATAAATTAAGCCTGTGCTTCTTGGTACTTTGTGAAAGAAACTTACTTGGTTATTTTGGCATATGACTAGTGGATGAAAGTAGCATTGAAAACCACGTCTGGTTTTATTTTTATTTTTTGAGATAGAATCTTGCTGTGTTGCCCAGGCTGGAGTGCAGTGGCGCAATCTCGGCTCACTGCAGCCTCCACCTCCCAGGTTCCAACAATTCTTCTGCCTCAGCCTCCCAAGTAGCTGGGATTACACAGGTGCACACCACCATACCCGACTAATTTTTGTATTTTAAGTAGAGAATGGGGTTTCACCATGTTGGCCGGGCTGGTCTTGAACTCCTGACCTCAGGTGCTCTGCCTGCTTCAGCCTCCCAAAGTGCTGGGATTACAGACATGAGCAACGGTGCCCGGCCAGCATGTCTGGTTTTAAATGGAAAGGTTTTAGGATATTTTCTGTATTCTCCTGAATATTTTAATACTTGGATGGGTTTATAAATTACTTTATAGTAATACTTAAAATTATACTGACTTTGACCAGTGTTACAGGACAAGGGGATGGTTGCTTGATTTTAGGCAGATTGATAGAATACTAATTAGGTGGGGGTCAGCACATGGCATGACTAAAGGAGCTCATAGGCCAGAAGTAGTGGCTCACGCCTGTAATCCCAACATTTTGAAAGGCTGAGGCAGGCAGATGGCTTGAGCCCAGGAGTTTGAGCCCTGCCAGGGCAACATGGCGAAATTTCATCTCTATAAGAAATACAAAGCTGAGCACAGTGGCTCATGCCTGTGATCTCAGCACTTTGGGAGGCCAGTTTGGATGGATCACAAGGTCAGGACATTGAGACCAGCCTTACCAACATGGTGAAACCCTGTTGCTACTAAAAATACAAAAATTAGCCAGGCGTGGTGGCATGCGCCTGTAATACCAGCTACTCAAGAGGCTGAGACGGGAGAATCAACCGAGAGGTGGAGGTTGCAGTGAGCCAAGATTGTGCCACTGCACTCCAGCCTGGGCAACAGAGCAAGACTCCATCTCAAAAAAAAACAAAAATTAGCCAAGTGTGGTGGCGCATGCCTGTAGTCTCAACTACTCAGGAGGCTGAGGTGGGAGAATCACCTGAGCCTAGGGAGGCGGAGACTGTGCTGAGCCATGATCACACTACTGCATTCCAGCCTGGGTGACCGAGTGAGACCCTGTCTCAAAAAAAAAGAAAAAGAAATTAGCATGACACCAGCTCTGAAACACTAAATAATTCATCAGTGCTGAGCACAGTAGCTCATGCCTGTAATCCCAGTACTTTTGCAGGCCAAGGCGGGCTGATCACCTGAGGTCGGGAGTTTGAGACCAGCCTGACCAACATGGATAAACCCCATCTCTACTTTTTTGTTGTTGTTGTTAAAGTCAAACCTGTGAGTTCACACAAGGGGTTTCACCACCATCTTGGCCAGGCTGGTCTTGAACTCCTGACCCTGTGATCCATCTGCCTCAGCCTCCCAAAGTGCTGGGATTACAGGTGTGAGCCACTGCACTCCACCTTTTTTTTTTTTTTTTTTTTTTTTTTTTTTTTTTTTTTTTTTTTTTTTTTTTTTTTTTTTTTTTTTTTTTTTTTTTTTTGAGATGGAGTCTTACTCTTTTGCCCAGGCTGGAGTGTAGTGGTGCCATCTCTGCTCACGGCAACCTCCACTTTCTGGGTTCAAGCACTTCTCCTGCTTCAGCCTCCTGAGTAGCTGGGATTATAGGCGTGCACCATCATGCCCAGCTCATTTTTGTATTTTTAGTAGAGACAGGGTTTTACCATGTTTGTCAGGCTAGTCTCAAACTCCTGACCTTGTGATCCACCCACCTCAGCCTCCCAAAGTGCTAGGCTTACAGGCGTGAGCCACCTTGCGCGGCCCCCATCTCTACTAAAAATACAAAATTAGCCGGGTGTGGTGGTGCATGCCTGTAATCCCAGTTACTCCAGAGGCTGAGACAGGAGAATTGCTTGAACATAGAAGGCGGAGGTTGCAGTAAGCCAAGATTGCACCATTGCACTCTAGCCTGGGCAACGAGCAAAACCCCGTCTCAAAAAGAAAAAAAAAGAATTCATCAGTATATTTAATATTACCTGTTAGTTTTCTGGCCTTTAAGTTTTCTCATATTTTAAATGTTTCTACTGTAATGTTTGGTTTTGTCCTTTGTAGAATTGCCATGAACTTGAAAAGATGGACCTGGAAGAGTGTGTTCAGGTAAGATTATAGATTTTATTTCAAAAATACAGTATGATAAACACTTAGATAAAACATGACATCAGAATGTCCAGTTCTCTGCCCTAGTGTAGGACTCTATAGTACCTGACAGCATTGCTGATTCTCCATTAAGTAAGACATCTTCCAGGCAGACGTGCTCATGATGTGTGTCACAGAACTGTGGAAATACATGTCATCAATCAGGTTGCCATTAGAGAAAAAGGAGGCCTAAGCATTCAGTCCATAAAGCCATTAAAAATATTTCCTTAGACCTATAGAGTTATGATACTAGTAAATAATTAAAGCCCCATCACATGGATCTATATAGCACGGCCTTTCTTTAACTTTGCTGTATCCTATATCCCTGGCATCTTTAGCCCTGGAGACCTGACTCTACATAGAGCTATGCCCTTAGGGCAAACTGATCTCCTTATTAGCAGTGTTTATTTTTTATTTTTTTATTTTTTATTTTTGAGACAGAGTTTTACTCTTGTTGCCCACTCTGGAGTGCAGTGGCATGATCCCAGCTCACTGCAACCTTTGCCTCCCAGTTTCAAGCAGTTCTTCTGCCTCGGCCTCCCAAGTAGCTGGGATTACAGGCATATGCCACCATGCCTGGCTGATTTTTTGTATTACTAGTAGAGATGGGGTTTCACCATGTTGGCCAGGCTGATTTTGAAATTCTGACCTTAGGTGATCCCCTCGCCTCAGCCTCTCAGAGTGCTGAGATGACAGCTGTGAGCCACATTAACAGTTTTTATTACCAATTTTAAGAACTTTTGAGAGTATTAATTGACCAGGGAAAACCTTTAAAGACAGGACTCCAAAAAAGAAAGAGCAATTAATTTTTTAATGGTAGAAATAAAGAAAGGGAGATATGTCAAAAGCCACTTTAAAAAAAATTATTTGTTGTGTGGCACTACTTAACAGCTATAAGTTCTTACTAAACTAAAACTTGTTTACATCCCTTTATGTCTTATACATGCCTGAGTGTCCTCTATGTCCCTTTCAGTGTTAGTCCTTCTAAACGGACATGCCTGCCTGCTTGCCCACCCGCTTTCTCTACCATTTTTTAGCCCCCGTGAAGCTATGTGTAGTAGAAAATAATAAACTCAGAGTTGGAGAAGAATTTGAAAAGAAGTGCTGATTTACTTTAAGTCCTAACATAACTATGAAAACTGTTCTTCCTACCTGAATGTTCATAGTTAACCCAGATCCCAGCAGCGCCTGTCCTCCACCTTTGGGAAAATAACCCAAGTTATCAATGCTGAGTTGTGGCATGCTTTATTAAAAATTTTAGGATGGGCCAGGCACAGTGGCTCACGCCTGTACTCCCAGCCCTTTGGGAGGCCAAGGCAGGCAGATCACAAAATCAGGAGTTCAAGACCACCCTGGCCAACATGGTGAAACCCATCTCTACTAAAAATACAAAAATTATCCAGGCGTGGTGGCGCACGTCTGTTATCCCAGCTACCAGCTACTCAGGAGGCTGAGGCAGGAGAATCACTTGAACCTGGGAGGCGGAGGTTGCAGTGAGCCAAAACTGTGCCATTGCACTCCAGCCTGGACAACAAAGCAAGACTCCATCTCAAAAAAAAAAAATTTGAGCATGTTCCAACATTAATTTATTTTCATACAGCACTATCTTCTGATTGCTTTCTCTGGTGATTCTAAAGAAATAGAGCAAAGTCCAGTGAGTAGAGCCTCTCAGGTTCAAGCAGTTCTCCTGTCTTAGCCTCCCAAGTAGCTGGGATTACAGGTGCCTGCCACCACACTCGGCTAGTTTTTGTATTTTAGTAGAGACAGGGTTTCAACATGTTGTCCAGGCAGGTCATGAACTCCTGACCTCAGGTGATCCACTGGCCTCAGCCTCCCAAAGTGCTGAGATTACAGGCATGAACCTCTGTGTCTGGCCCCACTCAGACTGGTCTTGAACTTCTAATCTCAAGCAGTCCTCCTGCCTCAGCCTCCCAAGCAGTTGGGACTGTAGGTGCAAATCACCACATCTAGCTACCAGGGGGACAGATTTTGATTCATTTAAAAAATAAAATACATTTTAAATAGAACTGTTCAAAGATGAAGACTAGAGATGACTAGATGTATTCAAATGTAGCCTGAGTGGATTCTCATATAACATGCTCTGGTAGCCAATGGAATTTAAACCAAAAGATTGTTATTTGATGATTGATTATTAAAATGCCTGGACTAGAAATGTAGTCAAGAATGAGGTAGGGGGACTGGGCATGGTGGCTCATACCTGTAATCCGAGCACTTTGGGAGTCTGAGGCTGGTGGATCACCTGTGGCCAGGAATTCGAGACCAGCCTGGCTAACATTGGCAAACCCTGTCTCTACTAAAAATACATCAGGCCCGGTGGCTCACCCCTGTAATCCTAGCACTTTGGGAGACTGAGGCAGGTTGATCACCTGAGGTCAGGAGTTCGAGATCAGCTTGGCCAACATGGTGAAACCCCATCTCTACTAAAAATACAAAAATTAGCTGAGCATGGTGGCCCATGCCTGTAATCCCATACTTGGCAGGCTGAGGCAGGAGAATTGCTTGAACCCAGGAGGCAGAGGTTGCAGTGAGCTAAGATTGCACCACTGCACTCCAATCTGGGCAACAGAGCGAGACTCTACCTCAA